ACAAAGTGAGATTAAGTATATGGTGAAGGCTCCTGCAGAAACATTTATCTTTTAACAGGCCATGTTCGAAATTCTGTGTGCTAATCTCCTCAACAGTTTTACTGGGGCACAGAAATTTAACTAGAATTTATTCTATTTCTGCAGAAAAAGAAAGCTCTGTAGCCTGTAGTGTGCAAATGGATCATATTTTTGGAAAATAAAAAAAAAGAAAAAAAGAAAAAAAAGAAAAAAAAAAGAGAAAAAAGAAGAAAAAAAAGAGTTTTTAAACTTACTGTTCACACAAAATGATCTGATCTAATTTCTTTCCTTTCATAAGTGGAAAGAAAGCCAATTTAAAAGTTTATAAGATAGACAGACAGTACCATCACCTTCTGCCTAGGAGGAAATTAAGGCCAGTAGAGGTAATGAAATGGAAAGTTGACTCTGAAAGAGCAAAACAGAACAGGGTATTACAGTTAAATCATGCAATGCCTGGAAAACTCTGTCTCTATGCTGACCTATACAGAGACAGTTCTAAAGGTGAGAACCGCTGTAAGATAGCTGGTTTTTAAAATTTTGTTTTCTTGTAAAGTTGCAACCTGATTCTACTGTTAGTGGGTTTTTTTTGTTTGTTTGTTTGTTTTTGTTTTGTTTTGGTTTGGTTTTTTTCTTGCATCTTTTTTGTTTGTTTTAAGCAAAAGCCCAGTCATTATTGCGGTCTGCTCTATAATGAAGAATGAACCCCCTCTACAGCTTCATTCACCAAGCTACCCCATCTGTTCTGAATAAATAGTTTTAAAGGTTCTGAAACACATATCTTGGGAAAGAGGATGCCATAAAGGAAGACCGTAAGTGTAGATCAATGTAATTCAACGCCATATGAAAATGGACATTTGAACTCTGAAATTAATTTTCATAGCCTTAATGGAGCGTGTTCCACATAAGTCTTGCTGTTAACTCAGCTTCTTGCCAGCTTCTTTGCAGGAGAAGATGATGTGTGTATACTGGCATGTAAATAAAAACGGGTAAGAAGAGAAGTCACAAAACAATGAAGGAAATATGTTCACTCAACCCATCAAACCAGACACAGTGAATCCCTAAACAAGCAAACCCACTGCTACTGCAACACTTCATTGGTATGTATTTAACTGAAGGATGTGAAAGATACACATTTTTTGATCTGTTATGCAGCAAGCGTGATTTATCAGCAGTGGCACATGTACATGGTTTCTTAGTAGGTTAAAACCTCAAAAATTAAGTAATTTACACACATTTGTCAGGTTCATATTTTGGAATAAATATTGGAAGGCACACAGACTGACAACTGGATACCGGCACTTTTATTTCTAGGGCTCCCCAGTTCCCCTAAATTCTAGGAATAGACAAACCTTAGATAATTTCTTGGTGCCAAGAGGCAGATTAATCTTTCCTAAATGAAAGTAGGCTGGAAAATACCGCATGAACATATATTTCTGACACCTTAAAATACTCATGGCTTCTCATTCACAGCTTAGTAGGAACCAAAAGCAAGACAATAATTAGAAAATAAATACTGTATTCTTTCCCTCCCTATGCCACTTTTTCATGTAAGAGATTATGGCATGAAACAGTTTATATCACAGCCCTACTACATATTTCTCTTCCTTTTTTGACATGAAATAAACATAAAAGTATGCTCTGAAAAATCCATCTGTAAATTATCTTTGATATTCAGCTTTTCCATATGCAGAACTGAAGTTTTATTTTTGACAGGTGATAAGGGGCTCACTTCCTTTTTAAATAACAAAGCCTCAGACTGTCCGCCAGTATAGATGTATATAGTTTTTACTACCTGTTATATGAGCTCATATCAGCTAACAGTCTACCTGCATAAATTAAAAATTATCCCCTACCACAAACATGATAATAAATATCTTAATAATTTTTAAAAATAGCTTTTGTCCTAAACTTTAAGTTAATGAACATTAAACTGCATTTCATGACAGTTGGATGATGCAGAACAGATGTTGAGCTAAAATTTTATTTGCCAAATGTCAGCTCAGAACACGTGTATATAACTGGGGTATTAGTAATCCAAACTACATGGTGAAAACAATGGAAAAAATTGACAACTACATCTGTGCCTGCCAACCATTTTTCTGGGACTTCAGATGGAAATTCCGCCTGAACCAAAGATTCCAGAAAATAACGTCCAGTTTTAGGAACTCTAATTGCTTATTAGGATGAGCACGTTCTCTTCTGGGTATCCATTTCTCATCCTGAGCTGACTGACATAGAGCAAACACTAATCAAAAGCCCGTAATTAGTACGCTTTTGTCTTGCAGGTTCTCCTCCGCCGTGAGCCTCCGTTTGGATCTCTGGTTGGACAGGTAGGCTCACTGTCTGAAAATGATGCCTGCCATTCCCCTCGGCCACAAAAAACCCCACCAACCAGCCAACCAAAGCGGCAATAAAACTCAAAGCTTATCAGTTGGCAAAGCCCATCCGCTGACCAACATGTTTATTTTTTTCTTGCCGTGTAAGGTATAAGTGATAACCCTCTGAGGAACACAGTGCAGTTGAACACAGTCATTTAAAGTCCATCTTGTATTTGGGCCACGTTTTCCTTTTCCTAATTAAAGGTAGTACTTCTAATTCTACCTCCCACGTCCTACCCTAAATAATTTCTGTCCTTCCATAATATTTTTTCAAGCATCTGGAAAGTCTTCTGTCCCCTCCTTTCCACACTTGTCATTTATCCACATTTTTGTAATCAACACGGAAATCAACATGTTTTAAAAGTCTCCTGATTGCTTTTGATGCTTTTCTCCAAACTCCTTCCAATTTTTCGATGTCTTTCCAATAGCTGAATGATCAGCAACTGCTGTAGGCCACAGATAGCTTCACAAGCCGTCCCGCCTAGGTGGACTGTAGCTTCTGGGGACTAAGGAGTAACACCATCAGGTGGGCTTCTGACATTTCTTTAAGAATTATTTGAACCAACAAGTAAGGGCAGCCATAGTAAGTAAGAGACACCACTCGCAGTCCATGGATCAAAATTAATGACATCAAGAGTAATGCAAACTTCATTTAAAGAAGTTATTTTGTGCAAAATCCCAATCCGTACAGTGGTAATTAGTAATAATATTTAATGATCCCCTCTAAAGAGTTTATGAAGCTCAATTTATACCTGTAAGCCTGCTCACTCCCCCTTTACCTACAGAAATCAATACTCATGAATGCACAAATGGTATCACGAGACGGGAAAGATCCAAAAAGCAGGCCATTGAAAAATTTGCAGGAGGAAATCTTCTTTTACAAGCATATATCCTATACATTAACTGACTGATGGTTGTGAAGTGATAGCAGAGCAACTAAACAGAGATAACCTTTTCTTAAAATGATGTTGTCTGAGACCTGTAGACATACTATAAATAGGTCTTTCCTCTCTATAGGGAACAGTGCCTTCAACATCATCATGTTTCTCCCAAGAACATTTTATACAGATTACAGTCATTTCTCCTCTGGTTTAGTCTACTCCTAATGTAATGTTCTTTAAGTTTGAACACAAGACAATTACAGAGCAAAGCTCTTTTTCCTCCATGGGCTTTTATGTTCTGGAATACAAATGCATCCAAATACCAAGGTTTTAGAAAAAGACTCGTTTCCCTCTGGTTACCAATGCTTGCTCTGGGGCAGGGGAAGAACAGGAGGAATTCAATTTATATTTTTTCAGAATTCTGGAGAAAAAGCTAAGGGGACAAAACAAAACAAAAGGTTAAAGACAGAATTTTTCTCAGCAAGTAAAACCACAATGGCAGAAGTAGCTGCAAGCAGTGATGTTTCTAATGTGCCATAAAATTTAGCTGCAGTTGTGTTCCCAGTCTGGAGAGAGAGAGAACGCTGCTTTCATGCTAAACAAGTAGAGAGATCAGGTTGTCAGTATTTGGTTTTTCATGCAGGGAAAGAAGTCTTTTCAAATTGTTGCTTAAACTCCTCCAGCATTTTTGTCGGGGGCAAAGTTTTGGGCTCTCCTATCATTAAATTACACATAGCAAAAATAAATAAATAACCCACACCATCTGCCATAGAAAAACCTTGTATAAATTAACACTTTCCACAAGTTTAAACTTAAGTTACCAAAGAGACTTGCTTTCTTTTCCGTCAGAAAACTGCACAAAATCAACAAGTGCATTGAGGATTACAGTTAGCATTTCCATTGCTGTTATCATGAAAGTAAAATCATTTGCCAGAAAACTCTCTCCCTGATCCATCTGCCTGCTTGAGGTCCGTATGGCTATAAAGTTTCCTCCTTGCACCTTCCCTAGGTATAAGAGCACGTTCATGCCTCGCAGCAACGTTAAAAGTTGTGCTATATATTTAAAAATCATGCACAGCAACAACCATTTCTGCAAAGCTGTAATACATACATTCTGTTACCACGTACCAGCACTGGAAGCTTCGCAACACACAGGGTGAAGTATAAGCCCAACTACATGTTGTTTCCACATTGCTCAGTCTCATTGCACAATACCTGAACATCCTTTTCTGCAGCTTTTACAAACATTAACTGCAGACAAACCAAGACCTGTAACAACTTCTGCCCAAGGAGCAACTTGAACATTCAATCCACAGTGGTTAGAGTCAAAACAGTCACTCCACTCCTCCCGTTTTCAGAAAAAAAAAATTACTTTTCAGAAGCTTTTGAGGGGTGGTGCTACTGAAAGCAGGCTAAACACACACATTCAAAATGACACCTAGCATTCCGTTTCACAGAAGAGCTCATGAGAGCCTTCCAAGGCAAAGCATTAGGGCAAAGCTGTTACGCAAACAAAATCATTCGTTTACAATTATGGGTTGGTGTTTTTTTTTTGTTGTTTTTTTTTGTTGTTTTTTTTTTTGTTTTTTTTTGTTTTTTTTTTTTGTTTTTTTTTTTGTTTTTTTTTTTTTAATATATATTCAACAGCAGAAACATACAAAGCAAACGGCAATGACAAACCTCCGCACGAGCAAGAAATAGTAGACAAGAAGGTTTCACCCACCTGGGATCTTTCTGAATGCTATCAATGGAAGGTGACCTAGCCAAGGTCCCTTCAGGTGGGATGGCTGGCCCAGATTTGCTGTATGGTGATTCAACAGAAGGACAATACTGCAGCTGTCGGTAGGGGTCTGCGTAATTGGAGGCTGGGCCGGCTGCATAGCTGGCCCTCTGGAAGGTCGCTGTTGCGTTCTGTGTGCCGTGTTGACTGCCTGTGCGCTGTAAGGGTACGGAGTCGACACCAGGGGAAGATGGGGCTACGACAGGAAAGTAGGGACAAAGTAAAAAATTGAGGACCTGTTCACAGAAATGGTTAACCAGGTCTAGGCAGAGGAAGAAAAAAAAAAAAAAACAAACAAAAACAAACAAAAAAACACACAAAAAAAAAAAAAAAAACAAAACACACACACGTATAAAACAGGGGTTCAAAAAGAATGAGAAAAAAAAACAAACAAACAAACAACATTGTCATTTTCAAAACCATTGAAGTAAATAACTGTCAAACGAATTTCTAAGTGACATGCCGCTTCTGGACTAGAAGACCTTTACACCAGCTAGACTGCAGCAGTGCTTTTCTCTTGGGCTTTTACCTGCACTAACCTGAAATGAAAGAAGTGCAGAAGCAGCATGGGAATAGCCAAGCCAAGATTCACAATCGCCCCCGAGTGAGACTGTTGCAGACCTTACAGGGGTGTAAGCCCGTCAGATCCACCAGAAGAAGGAGGGTCAAACCAGGCTCAAGAGCCCAAATTGAGACAGATGGCTTTATGGCAGAAGAAACGGACAGCCACAGCCATCCCAAATTTGTAGCCCTGTTATCCATAAAGCAGGTGAAACCAGACACCTGCTACTGAGAGTTGCTGCCTATGCTTCATTAACCCGTCTTCTGCATATTTCACCTTAAGTAAGACTTAGGGGACTGCTACTGCTAACTCAGTCTGAAAAACAGCGGAGTACAAGGTGATCACATAGGTGTCTTCATGCACGCCAGCAACGGCTGTGCTCACACACCACAGCTCAAGATTAATACGTTACCAGTTTTGAGCTGCTTAACCAATAGATTTTAACTGACTTAACACTTTTGCAAGTCAAAAATGTCATTAATCTCTCTTGCAGCCGATTATCTTTCTCTTACAGCACCTTGTACTGGAGATCCAGTCTGCTTTATGATTCTTAATAAACATGCTGTATTTCTGAACCAAAGTCCTGTTAATGGCAAATGGATTATCGCTATAAGGGGACGAGGACCAATATCCACATGATCTTTGGCCTGGAAACAAATATAAATTAAACGCTGGCTCTGCTCAGAAAGAAGTTGAGACTGTTTGAAATGGCACGTGAACTCATGGTGGCTCCCATTTCCCCCTGTCCCAAGACAAGAAGAATGCTTTCACCAACAGGAGTGGGCCCGGGTTCAGGACTAATTTTAGCTGGGTCAAATCATATGCTAAACTGTACGCAAAGCCACATATTCAATAAGCAGGTTTTCATAACAGATTTCCCAGTCATTTCTCGTTAACACTCACATTTATGTTTTAAGAATATTCACTATATTATAGGTCCATGAAAGGGACTTTAAGCATTTTATCTCAAAGTGTCAGCAAGTGAAATACAATGAACTTTAACTACAATTACAGTAGTTTTGTCTGACATAGTTCTTGTCAAAGTTATAACACCTCAAAATTTTAAATCTGTATCAAATCTGCCTTATTTCTAAATTTTTCTTATGGTTCTGAAGGACATAATTTTACAATAACAAGTATTATAACTCTGTTACAAACATAGATAAGTGGGTAATCCCACTTACCTATTGCCTCATCATTGGGAGTGTTTGAGGCCAGGTTGGACGGGGCTTTGAGAACCCTGGTCTGGTGGAAGGTGTCCCTGCCCATGGCAGGGGGCTTGGAACTAGGTGATCTTTAAAGGTCCGTTCCAACCCAAACCAATCTTTCATTCTATAATTATGTTAACTTACCTATATAATCTTTCATTCTATAATTATGTTAACTTACCTATAGAGCATCATTTTACAAGTACTGCTTTTGTTTAATTGCTACTGTATATTTCCTTAAGAAACGAGTAATAAGACACATACAGACCTTTACATAAAACTGGTTCAGCTAAAATGCAGTAACAGTATTAACATACTGAAACATCCCATGCACAGATCATGCTAAATTCAGTGTTAGGAAGACACAAGGAAAACACCACATTTTAACAGAAAATACACAGTTCAAAACCAAAATTTGGTGCCTTGTGAGAAAAAGAGTAGAAAAACAAGTTAGAGAAAAATACTGGAAATATTTTCAAGTGAAAAAGCAAAAATGCAATTGTATACTGACATTGAACACTGTTAAGTACTGTCACTCCACAGGATATACCGCTAGCTTTTGACACGTTATATGGGGAATTGCAAAAAACCCTACAGTACTAATACTGCTGAAAATAAGAACTTCACTGTAACGTAGATTGCTTCGCAAAATATTCCACTGCATTTCCCTTACCCTCCTTTGCAAGACAGTTCAACGGAAATTGTGTTTGTTTTTAAAATCTTTGAAAACTTTTCTATTTTCTCCTTTGTCTTGTTATCAAAATAGGTATTTATATGAACTGAGACTAGCTGTCGCCCTTAACACCTACATGCTTTTTGAGTCACTCTGATTCATTTCTCAAATTATCTTCCTAGCAGACTGCTACTTCCTTCTGAATTTCATCACAATGAACACAGAAGTGCCGAAGTCTGAATATGAGAATGAGACCAATCTATGACTTAAACATTCACAAATAAGCCTGTTTGGCCAGTGTTATCCAGATCACTTAAAAGAAAAACAAAAAAACGAAACACCACTAGAATAACTTATACACCTACCTTGACTACAGCCACCTTCATGGACTGCCAAAAGGTTAAGCTTTAGCAGACATTTTTACACAAATAAGTTAATGTAAAACTGAAGGAAAGTCATCTCCCACCAGTATGTCACTTTAACTTGAACAAACCCTTTTGGCAGCCAGGCTTACTGACTGAAGGGTGGCTCTTCAGGCTATGGTAAACTTTCCATCTATTGAGATCTCTCTCCTATTTAGCTATTAAAACAGAAAAGCCGTAGTGATTATGTCTCCTAAAATAATTTCCGAAGTCCATTTGCTTCACCCAGCAACAGCAAATCTTCAGTGGGCACGGGGGCATCCAGAAATCACGCACGAAGTGGACCAGGAAGTGCTCAGGTACCAGCTGTGTTTGCAGATGGTCACGCAACCTTTTTAGATGCTTTTAAATTGAAGACACTTACCCCTTTCTTTAACTTTCACATTTGGCTCTCCTCTCAAATCCAAGCCAGCTGCACCTCGACCAGAATCAGCTCAGCGTGAGTAAGACACAATACTACTTTGACAAGGATCAGGGGTTTGCCCCAGCAAGGGAAGAGAGGAGTTAACAGAAGTGCTGTTTCTGGAGAAATGTGCTGTTTTCCCACCTCTCAGCACCAGCTACCAGCCCAGCCTTCCAGGGAACGAGCCTGGTTGAAGCAGGATCATGGTCAAGTCACTTTTTTGCCCTGGGTCTAGTCTATGGTGGACCCTATTCTGCCTCTGCATAAAGGTAAAATCAGCAGTCATAGCCAGATTGCGAAGAAGCAGGTCTTTTTTTGTGGACACCTTGATGATTTAACAAGAAGCTTGGAGGTAAAGGGGTGTCCAACAAAACTAGACCTGCTTCTGGCCTTCGAAAGTTCCAAAGCTGACAGGAAGATCAAGATTAAAACCAAAGAAACAGAAGGCCTCAAAACCTTACTTTACCTAAGTGACCACCGCGCTCTCACCAGTGACTGCTCCCCGCCGCGTTTTAAAAACTTTAAAAGTTCAGTGGTTGATGTCAGATACGTAAGTCTCTCAGGTTCTGGTCTGCTCCCTTTGGACCAGCCAGCCTACCTGCGGCTCCTCCCCGGGGGCCGCTGGCCACCCGGCCACCCCCTCCGTGGGCACGAGAGGGGCTACTACAGCCTGCGCCGCCGACGGTGGGCTCACAGCCCCCGCTCTGCTGCAGCTGGCGGAGACCGAGTAGAGCAAACAGCATGCTCGGGGGCAGGCCGGTAAGCCTCTATGCTTCCGTGATGTTTTAAACTTCAAGGTAAGAACCATGCTCGAAAAGGAGAGGTTTCATTTTGGGGGTTGAGAAAATGGATTCACCGAGAATTTCCAAAGGAAGCTTTTCACGCTGTGCGAGTCAAAAACTACGGTCTCGGTGAAGAGATTTCAGTCTGTCACCTAAAGATTTAAGACCTTGTGTTAATCTAGCATGTCATTAAGACCTGAAAAATACCGTATCACCTCAACCCTTCGCTACTGCAGCACCAAAATCACAGCCCCAGAAAAGACGCTGTCTGGAGTACCACACAGAAATTCAATATGTTCTTACAAATCTTCGCCAAAGAGAAAGAAAAGGCCCTGTTCAACTATAATGAAAATCCTCCAATCACCTGATGTATGCCCTCATTATGGTTCTCTTGGTTTCAGAGACAGCATATAGAAAAGCCAATCTTCATATTATTCTACGGCTTTTCCATAGTATTAACAAAGATACAGCAACTTTTATATTAATACTAAAAATTTAATTGCATCACTAAATATGCTCACAGGCTCATAATGAGACACTTTAACTTAAAAATTCACTTTCAGATTTTCTATCTTCTTTTCAAACCTGTGTCATTTCTAGAAACAACTACCAAAACCCCAAAAGCAAGAACACGTTGATTTAGGCAGGCATACTATTGCACCATGCCCAAGTATCTTACGGAGACCAAATTCACATAAGAACTGCTAAAAAGTTCAGACTTTCTAGAAGTCAGAGGGTATTTTGCCCAGTTAACATACGGAGAATCAGACCTTCAGAGAGCATAAACTTATTTATGAGACTTATCTTGCTATAACCTTCTTGTTGAAAATCACTTGGCTGATGCTGCTGCTTGATTTGTGGATATTACCTTGTAAAATTTTCCTCTTATTATTCTATATTAGACATTCAGTTCCTATGTTAACTTTCTCCTTATGCCTTTCATACAGATTTCAGAATTTAGGGGTTTTTTCTTATTTTTCTTCGCTGATTTGCACCTGTAGTTGATTCTTAGTTGGATCCCAGTAAGATGTCTTTTCAGTACAAGGTATGTCCACCATCCCTCCATGATCATAAATGATACAAATGCAGTGCATTCTGTTGGTAGCAAATATATAGGAAGATTTATAAAACAGATACTTTTCCCATCTAGTACACCATAAAAAATAACACAGTGCATTCTTGTCAATTAGGAAACAGAATTCATCAAGTTTG